GCCCGTGGGGGTGCAGAGAGGACCTCAGAGCACAGCAGTGGAGTTGCTCTCGTTTGTACTGGTTTCAGTTTCTAATTTCAAAACCGTGAGGCTCAGAGGCCTACGAGAATTGTTTCCCATTTTGCTTCGTCTTTCCCCAGGACTTTGCCTGCATTCTTCAGTGAGTTCTCACAATGGGTGGTGGAACTTCAGCACAGGAATGAAAGTCATTATCCCTATGTTCTAAAAAGGAGATTTGCACTGTGGCATATTTCCGTAAATACAGTGCCCAGCATCTGTAGCGAATCATCCTCAGCCATGATTCTCTTGCTGTTCAGACTTAGACGTGTTTCCCAACCAATTTTACTAAATCATAAAAATAACAAATAATATTTATGAGCCTGCTTGCAAGTGCCAGGCATTCTGCAAATCATTATGTATGACTTATCTCATCTAATTCTCATAACATGCCAATGGTTGGGGGAGTCTCTATTTTGCAGATGAGAAAAACAAGCCACAGCCCACCTGAGCCCCAGTGGGTCTCTATCCAAGCACAAGCTCTTTACCACCCACATGATATGGCCTCATAAAATTTGAGCAATTTGATGGGCACCCCATGGGCTCTGTCACCACATCTAGCACAAAGGGAGAGCTGCGGTGATCAACCCTGTGAATTCAGGCAAAAGCAGAGGTATTGCTTTTGTAATTGGTGAAACAAGCTGAGCCTTCCGCTCTGCTTTCACCCGGTGAAGTAACCTTGAAGGAATTACTGTCAGGCCTTCGATTATATCCTTTTAGTAAATTGCAGGCATGCTTTACCTTATGTTCATGAAAAACAATTCTTTATAAATGAAATTGTTGGAATTTGAATGTAGTAGAGGGTTAAATAAAGAACTCTTCCCAATTTATATTGTGTGAAATTCTAGCTTTTCTTTAACTGTATTCTCAGAATCATAGCTGGAAATAATCAGGAAAGTTTATGTGGCCACAAATGTTCATTGAGAAATGCTGTTTCCTTAAAGCAGATGTCTTTCCCACTTCCCTGGCTACCTTCAGAACTACCCAATCAGGATAATCACCTGTTACCTTGCTTATGCCTCGTGGGGTGAAGTGGTGGACATTTCTGGAGTTCTTTAAAATACACGCAACCCTTTCAGATCATCTTGAGACACCTCACCATATTTGAGAAGTACAGACATTGGGACCCGTTGGTGCACCCACCTCCTGCAAAGTAGTGGGTCGGGGAAAGGAAGAGACAAATAGATCACGTTGCATCTCTGGAAAGCCCATGTGGAGTCTGGGTCAAATTGCTAATATATATATGTATAGATATTTTTCAGACAGGGTCTCACCCTGTGAGACTAGGCTGGAATGCAGTGGTGTGATCATGGCTTATTGCAGTGTCAACCTCCCTGGGCTCAGGTGATCCTCCCACCTCTGCCTCCTGAATAGCTGGGACCACAGGTGCACACCACCATCCCCAACCAGTTTTTGTATTTTTTGTAGAAACAGGATTTCACCACTTTGCCTAAGCTTATCTCAGATTCCTAGGCTCACCTGTGTCTTGGCCTTCCAAAGTGCTGGGATTAGAGGCATGATCTACTGTGCCAGGCCAACGTTGCTAATTTTATTTAAACTTTCCTATATGTGGGAATCTAGATAAGAGGAAGACACCTTTTTTCTTATTCTTTCCCTTTCTTTTCTTTCTTTTCTTCCTTTCACCTTCATTCCTTTCTTCTTTCCTTCCTTCCTCTTTTTTTTCCTCTCTCTCTCCCTTCCTTTGTTTCCTTCCTTCCTTTCATTCTTTCAGTTTTTCTTTTCTTTCTTGTCTGTCTGTCTCACTTTATTGCCCAGGCTAGAATACAATATGACACTGCAGCCTTGAACTCCTGGGTAGAAACAACCTTCCCACCTCAGCCTCCCATGTAGCTGGGACTACAGGCATGCACCATCATGCCTGGCTGACTTAAAATTTTTTTGAGAGACAAGGTCTCACTGTGTTGCCAGGCTGGTCTTGAACTCCTGACCTCAAGTGATCCTCCCACTCAGGCCTCCCAAAGCACTGGGATTACAGGTGTGAACCCCAACATTCAACCAAAATAAGGAAATCTGATGCTTTGGCCACATACATGAAGCTCTCTAGAGAAGTTTGGGGATTAGTAAAGGAATCCTGCATGATGACCTCTCAGGGATTAATGTATGGAGTTTTACATAAATATGTATAATAAAAGGTAAAACAAACACTATGCAGAAAATAATAGAGATGTTTGAAAGATGCAAAAACATTGGGTTGAAAAATGCTTTATGGCAATCAGGGCATCTCAGAGAAGCTTTTTAGGAGGAACAGGACTTCGTCACATATTGTTGAAAGTATGTATGGCAAGAGAGCAGAGCAAAGAACCACATGAATGAAGACATGGAACTGGGAATGCTGAATAATATAATTCGAAAACATTGAACAGCTTTGGTTAGTCAAATACACATGGGAAATAGAGCTGAAATATGCCATAACTGAAAAGGCCCTAAATCCAAGGCCCTAAAGTTTAAATTTAATTGAGTTCTCAATGAGAACTCATTAATAATAGTTTTATCTTTTTGTACCTTTCCCCCTTTGTTTCCAGGGGATGAGATGGCCTTGTAAGTTATAGAGACTAGAGGAAACTTAACAAGCTTCAAATTTAACTCTTGATCTCGTGTGCCTCTTAAAAAAAAATAATCCAACAAGATACTTCCCTGCTATTCTTTATCTCAGTAAATGGCACTCCCAGCAACCCATTGCTCACCCCTTTACTGTTCCATTTGCTTCAACCCTACCTTGACTGAATCAGTAAGACCTATTTGTTACATCTGCAAAATATCTTCCAGCTCCATCTACTCTCTTGCTCCTTGGATCCCACCCTAGCCCAGAGTGCCCTATTTTGAGAAAAGGATGGTAGTGGAAAGGACATACTTGCCATTTGGCCACGGATCCATCTATTTCAAAAGGGTGAAGGGTAACCTTATAATAGCAGGCAACTTATAAAGTAGTTATTGGAGAGGGGATAAAAAAGCTTACAAAGAAAGGAAAAAAATTGGAAAAAATGAATGTTTTAAATGATGATGTGATTGGATTTATAGAATTTGTTCTCGTTGTCTCAAGGTAAGATTTGGTTTTTTTGTTTGTTTTTTGTTGTTGTTGTTTTTGAGGTGGTGTCTCACTCTGTTGCCCAGGCTGGAATGCAGCGGCATGATCTCAGCGCACTGCAACGTTTGCCTCCTGGGTTCAAGCGATCCCCTTGCCTCCGCCTCCCAAGTAGCTGGGATTACAGGTGCATGCCACCACACCCAGCTAATTTTTTGTATTTTTAGTAGAGATAGGGATTCACTGTGTTAGCCAGCATAGTCTTGATCTCCAGACCTCGTGATCTGCCCACCTCAGCCTCCCAAAGTGCTGGGATTACAGGCATGAGCCACCTCACTGGGCCTTTTTTTGTTTTATTTTCAGTAAGTTAAGTCATTTTAAAGAAATTAGTCTTTGCATCCCAATGGACAGGATTTTTTAGATAGCCTTGGAATGGTTGTCAGAATAGCTAATAGCAGATATTCTATATAGCTCTATTAAAAACTCTTAGAAAGAAACCATGTCAATAGAGCCTGAATTTAGGTACTCCTGTCCTGTGATCTACCATCCCTGTATCATGACAAATCCCTGGATACCTCTGAGAATGTAGGTGATTTTGACCTTGACACAGAAAATGACAAAGCATTTCCTCAAATTGTTCTTTTATTTTTAGCACCACTTTATAGTCCCCAGAGTTGTCCAGTTGCAATTTAGTTGGCAATATTGCAAATGAAAAGTTTCACATAACTAATTTCAGAGAACAATTAAGTGGTGTCTTTTGTGTTTTTTATATTTCTGTACTGACATGTTTATTGTTTTGCCTGCAATAATTGTTCCAAAATGCTAGTTTTAAGTATGCCAAATTATTGGATAGGAATTTGCCAACGTAAAGATCTCCTTCCCAACCTCCTTCTTTCAAGATGCCTTACCTGTGTGTTTATAAATTCCTCTAAGATGTCTAGCATGTATTTCTCTATTTTGTGAACAAGGTGGCATGATATCTTTATGGTGAAAATCCAGTACTTAATAGGCTTTTGAACAAGAACATATGTGATTTTGGGCCGTAGTCAAAAGATAAAAGTGATCATGACTCAGGTCTAGCCTTGTAGAAGCGAAGACTTTCTTTCCCCCATGTGTGCTGCAACTGGCACAAACACATAGGAACCTTGGGGAGGTATCTCTTGCCTGGGTTAACTACCTTTTGTGATGGTGATCTATGAATTAGTGTGGTTTCCATGTAGCCAAGTCATATCTAATAAGGTAGGTCATTTTTTAAGTCAAGTCACCTCAGACTTGATTATCAAAAGGTGTTCTATTACAAATTTTAGATAGTGTATCTGCAGTAAATTATAAAAACTATTTCCCACGTGTTAGTAGAGGATTAAAAGGAAGGCTAGGTGAATGGGAAGCAGGAAGGACAGACAGGGTTCTCCCTGGGCTTAGTTCTCACGTTGGGGTGCATGTGTCACCCTGGCCAATCACCAGGTTGCTAGTTCTAGACAGCTTAGATGCCTGATAATTTCTGCAGTATCTTTTTCAGGCTCTTCTTTTGGAGCATGAATCTGAAGAGGGTCGTGCCCTTAATTCTGTGGGACTAATCCTCAAGTAGTTTCTGCTTCTCTTTATCTTTGGGAGAACACAGGCAGAATATTTCATCTATCCTAGGTTGAGATTTTTCTGGAACTCTAGAAGAAAAATTGAAGGCTTATGCATTACCCTGTTCCTCAAGAGAGGTGTAGAATGAACTAATTATTTTTGTTGGCTTATTATTTCCTTTTTTTTCTTTTTTTCCTCCCTGGAATTTGGACAAACAGTAATTGACAAGGGGTGTGCACAGTTGGTACCCAAGTGCCTGGTCCATAGCAGGAGCTGAGCAAATATGTGTTCCTGAGTAAGTCTAATTCTAAATTTCTCTTTACAGCAAGTGAAAAACAGATGGTGGTGGTGTGCAAGGAGTCTCCAAAGGAGTATCTCCAGCCTTTCAAAGACAAACTAGAGGAGTTCTTCCAAAAAGGTAGGAAGCTTTGTCAGCAGCACATACACACAGCCCCGATTCCTCATTCCATGAAGCTTTCTCTGAGGCTCACGGCCCTTGCATCCTGGCTGACCAGGGGCAGCTCTGGTGATTTCATTAGCCCATCTTCCTATGGTGGTTACGTACTCAAAGTAGATGGAGTTGTCCTATAGCTTGTATATCACCTTTCAAATCCATTTTAATGTTTTAAATCCTTTAATGCTACTCTGGCTGTTATAAACTGAGGACAAACTTTTTTGTCTCTTCATGGAGCTTAAGGGATTTCTCAGCCCATGTTGACCGTTAAACGATCTATGTGCAAGGCAGATGCAGTCATGTGTTTCAGATTTGTGGTCAGCCTGGACAGGTGGATGGTGATCACCTTCCTGGTTATATGAGTGTAGCAACTTGGAAACTTGTGTGGTATTTTCCATTCCTTTTCAGATAGGAAAATGAGGGCCAAGTGAATGTCACACATCAATCATTGCTATCTGTCAGCCCTCTGAAGTTAGTCTGTAGAAGTGATATGCATGAGACTCAGCACTTATTGTGAAATCTTAGATTTTCTTCCTTCACAGTTTTGACCTGAGTATGGAACTTTTGTTGATTGGGGTTAATGAATATGGAAGTATCATTCTTTTAGATAATTCCTATTCTCATTTCTCAAATTCAACTTAAGATGTAAAACAAAAATAAGTGCAGGGTTGTTGAAGGCAGCTTTCTTCCTTGCTGGAAAGCTGAAGGAAAGACACATAGGAGTCTTTGGGGATATCTCAACATGCTTTTTCTATTACTGAGTAAGGCCACGTGGGACCACACCATCAACAAAAGACTGTTAAGCAGGGTGAATGCATAAAGTGTGGCCAAACCAGCTTGAGATTTGGCAGGGAAATTCTCAGTCTATGAGTCAGAGAAACTCCATTCCAGCTGCTTCTCCCTTGGTGCAGAGACCATTGCTTCCTTCTCCATGATACAAAGTTGTCTGTAGTGAAGTAGGAGAAGTCAGATTTCTCTCTCAGCCATTACAGAACCTCACATATGATGGAAGAAATGCTGTCAGGCAAAGAACCATCTAGAGAGCAAAGACACCAATACTTATGTGTTATGTGACTATAGGAGATGGCTTTTCTAAGTGACTTAGAAAAAAATATATCATTATACTGTGTAAATACAACCTAAGTAGCCTGAAGAAAAGCATGAAATACTTCCCTTTGCTGATCCAAGTTAATAGTGTCGGCTTTTTACATATGTAGAATTAACTTGAAATGAAGCTCATGTGTACTTGGATTCCATTTTTGTTTTTAATTGCTATTCTATTTCTAGAAATGTTGTCATGTGTATGTTGGGGTACTATCTGCCTATATACTGTAATGGCCTTAGAATCCTAGCTCTGCAAAGCAGCTAGCTTATATTGTGAATTTTATTCTTTTTGTTGAGAAGACATAAATGTGAATAGATTTAAAATCTTGAGAATCTTGTTTGGTATGTTGGAAAAGGAATTTGCAAATCCCCATTTGGGATAATGTGCCAGCCTCTTCTCTCCTAGGGCTTTTAAGACAATTCTGGTCTTTTCAGAGAAAGGGAATTTATATGAGGGAAACTGGATCTTCTGTCAGGGAAGCAAGGGTATGGCCACAGGAAGCTATTCTAAGAAAGCCCTAGAACCCTGGTTCTCAACTCTATCATATACTAGAATCACTTGGAAGATTTTTGAAAATCTTGATACCCAGGCGCAACTCTAGACCCATCATCAGCATCTCTTGGGGTGGGACCAGGCATCAGGTTTTTGGTTTTTGTTTTTTTTTTTTTACTCTCCAGGTAATTCCAGTGTGGAACCCAGATTGATAGCCACTAATGTCTAGCTTAGTTCATCTGTTAATGTGTATTCAAAAAGATTTATTCTGAGCCTGCTATGTGGTAGGCTCTGTGATAGACACTGAGAGTACTAAGATTAATTGTATACTCCTACACCTTCTCACAAGCAATTTCTTAGTGGGAAAATGTCTATAATTGAGTATAATCAGCTCCTCTTTAACCAACAGGTTAAGTAAAAGGGATACTGGGATAACATCAAATTATGCTTAAAACAAAACCAGCCAAAACAAGACACAAAATGAATTTGAAGGAAACATTACCATTCTGTTTAAAAATTAAGTATATAAAAATATATATACTATTGTAGGAATCTTAAACACTCCCAATATCATATGGTAGAAAAGTCTACTGTAGAAGTAGCCTGTTACAATTATTTCATTACTTAACTCATTTTGTCAAAAAAAAAAAAAAAAGTCTAGAATGGTGCTGTTCAATGTGGCAAACACCAGCCACCGGTGGCTTTTGAGCAGCTGTAATGTGGCTAATGGAAACAGAGATGTGTTACTAGGGTAAAACACACACTGGGTTTCAAAGACGCAGCACAGAATATGTAAAATGCTTTATTGCTAATTTTTTATACTGATTGCATGTTAAAGTGATATTTTAGATACCTGTAAATTAATAATCATATTTTAATATAAGTTAATAAATATGCTAATAACCTGACAAAATATATTAGCCAAATTATATTTTCTTCTTTTTGAATGTGGCTACTAGAAAATCTTAATTATATTTGTGGTTCACATTATATTTCTGTCAGAAAGTGCTAGTCTAGAGGCATGGTCCATAGGCTTTCCTCAGTTCATGCCTACGCTCTCTTCTCATTCTTGCTCAACCTTCTCAGCTTGAATCTTAAGTTTTTGGAATGCAGAGTTTTATAAGCTCACCCCCTGCCCACTCTGGGCCTGGCCCTTGTTTGGCTCTCAAGTGGGACTGCTTAACCAAAGGAGGTGACAGCATGCCACTTTGTCAGACTATTACCTCTGCAGTTCTGAAATGTATGGTTTAGGGTCTGTGGTGAAGAAATACATTATAATTCACAGCAATATGTTGTGTTGTAGGGGCTGGGTTTTTGCCAAGTTATAGTATATACAAATGGATTATCTTCTTGCTACTATTTAGAGTTCCCAATAGTAGTCCCTCTATTACATAGATATTTCACTGATTCATAGAAAATGTAGGATTTTCCATTTACCACAAATATGTACTATTCACCATGGATAATCAAATTTCTATGACAATTGTCATACAGTTTTAGTGTTTCATCTAATATTTATTTATTGTAGGAAATGCCATTATTATATGTACTACAGAGAAAGAAAAAGTGCTGCCATAAGCCACAGCATTTAGACAATAAGATGTACCCCAATATCAGAGGCTCTAAAATGTGAAAATTCTATCAGTTTTGGAGTTGGTGTAATGTGGTAGGGACATAGAATCAGAGAGGAAGAATGTCCAACAATTTTAGGTAAGACTTTCAGCAAAGGAGATATTTTTGTTAAGACTTGAAAAAGAGCAAAATAGTAATGACGGCAGTGATAGTGCTAACTAACATTTTACTGAGTGCTTCTATCTGCTAAATGCCATGGGGAACAGAGCACCTTATTACTTGGTCACCATGACAATCCTTTGAAGTGAGTACTATTACCACCCTGCTATACAGATGAGGAAATTGAGGATTAGAAATTCTCAGCAGACAGGCTACAAAAGACATTCCAGGCAGAGGAAAATACTGCAAGTCTCAGAAGGATGAAAGACATGATGTGTTTGGAAAATGGCAAGTGACTTGGTGTGGCTAGATCACAAGGCGTATGAGAAGAACACATGACCAAAAAGGAGGTAAGAGTCATAATGACTTGCTCAAGAATCTGAACTTTGTCTGACAGGCAGCAGCTAACATTGAAAAATAATGTGTACAGGAGTGACATGATTATGTTGGATTTGTTTGTATTGTTTTGGTTTGTGCAGTTTTTTTTTTTTTTTTTTTTTTTTTGGCGGGGGGTAGAATGTATCACTTTGCTTTTTGTTATTGCTAAGAAATACATTACAACTAACAGTAATATCAAAAAAGACAATTAACAGACTAGTGAAAAACTTGAGAAAAGCAATGGCAAAGCTGAGGTAGGAGGGTCACTTGAGGCCAGGACTTTGAAACCAGCCTAGGCAACACAGTGCAACCCGCATCCAACAAAAATTAGTTGGATGGGATGGTGCCTGTAGTTCCGGCTACTTGGGAGGCTGCAGTGGGAGGCTTGCTTGAGCCCAAGAGTTCAAGGCCACAGTAAACTATGACTACACTGCTGTACTCTAGCCTGAGCAACAGAGCAAGGTGCTGTCTCTAAAACAAACAAAGCAATGGCAGTAAAAATAAAGAAAGGAAAGGACTTATTTGTAAACAGTAACAGGCTGTTTTAGGTATTACAAAACAGGATAATTGGATATAAAAATGAAACGAAGGAGAACAGTGTAATTCCTTTTTCTTGCTTCGATAATTGGCTGGATGCTGATGAGGAAGACACGATTTGAGATGGAAATCAGTGAGGTCAACTTTAGACATGTTAACTTTGTACATATGAGACACAGAGGTAGAGATGCTGGGCTCATGGGAGAGAACTAGATGCGACTCTAACGGTAGCAGTTCAGGTCATAGGAAGAAATGAGATGACCCAAAGAAAAGGGTGTAGAATGAGACAAAACCTGAAGTATCAGAGTATCTGAGCACAGGATATCAAATAATAAGTGTAACTGAGAAAAGACACCTCTATACTTCTATAGCACAGCGTACACAGAGCGTTTTGCAAGAAAGCTAATTCTCTATTAGAATTCTTATCACTCATCACATTTTAAGCAATTTTGTTCTTTATGCCTCAGAAGTCACATGCGTTGTGACTCAGGATTATTTTTGCATAAGCTGCAATTCAGCTCTAACGATCCTGATGATTTAATTTTTCTTTTATAAATCATATCCTGTTGCCACACTCAAATGGAGATGATGTGCTTATCCTTAGGTCTTTTATCATTCTTTTCTCAGAATGCCCATATATGGTGTTATTTGACAAAACTGTGGTACTTTTTCTTAATGAATTTCATTTTCTGAGCAGAATTTAAAGTAATTTTAATGGCAC